TAAAGTGAACAGATTAGTAGCAATGAAAGAGGTTGAAACAGTGAATGAAACATCAATATAAATGAATAACAAAACAAATTACAATCCAATATTTGACTACAAGACAAAATAATTTCTCTGATACCTCCAGACAATACACAACAAATATTTATCTTCCAGCATAAATATTTTACCCCACAAAAACCCTTGTTAATCAAACAGTAGACAGTAAAAATTTTCAATGAAAATTCAACTTGCATAGGCTGATTCTTGCTTGTATATTTACTCTGGTCAGCCATATTGGCAAAATGCTTAGAAATGTTGGCAGTTTTCTGCAGATGACTTGGTTAACTGGCTAAAAGAAAGAAACTCCAACAAAAAACCTACAACCTTTGGGACCATAACCCCATCACACTGTGTAAAATGTCTTAAAGAGTGAATTGCTGTAACTGTTCTTCGTAAAGATAATGGATTTTTTGTCATGCTATCTTCTCTCTTCAGAGTTGTCCTTCTCCTAGACTAATTGCCAACTGTAGAATTTAGTTGGAGAAACAGACAGTACTCGACGCACAAGGCCGAAAAAAGGGGGAGGGGTTGAGGCTGGTCTTCACTAACTATCTTATACCTAGCTAATACGATTCACGACCCATTCACTCATTACAATTTGCACATTCACCTTAAAAATTCGTCTGTCACCAATTAATCCTCCAGACACCATAATACCACATCCTCACAAGGTGGACCTACAAAACACACCCCATGCCTTAAAAATTAAATGATAATAAATTATTATATGTAAAAATTTAAAGATGAAGAATGAGAGCAGAGGGAGAAGAACCCAATAACAAAACTGATGTTAGTAGGGCCCGTCCAACCCTTATCTAATTCATCTGGTGAGAGGTTTATATAATAGGCTGGGATATTCCATTCTGCTATATGGGCAAGCCTATTCTCTAGGCTGTGATTGGCTGTTGTTCTCCTAGACTAATTGCCAAGCAAGACCAGAGAACCCAATCTTGTTATTTAATTCAAAACTGGGATCAAAACTCATAGTTTGTATCATGATAAATGTTTTTAAGTGTCGATTTTATCTTTGTTTTAATACTGTATGATGATATTGACTGTCTCGATAAATTATATTCATAACAAACACCTTAATTCCCATCTACAAAGTTATGTGAAACACGTGTGCTCAGTTGAACAGTTTTAGTGACAGTGAAAACAGTGCAAAGAAAATTTATTAACAATGTCAAGCCAAAATGGCTAAATGAAGTCTCACGTTGGTCTTCTCTTTCATCCGACTAATTCGCCTCAGCTGAAAGAGAAGAGGAATGAAAAAAGAAAAAGAGAAAATTGATTATTAATAGCTTTAATACACAGAGTAGAAGAATGAGACAATTATTATTATTATTATAATTACTGTATCAGCGTCATCAAAATTGACAGCAATTGTCAGAAAGTTTGCGATGTGATGAATGAAACAGAAGTCTTGATTCAATCTATTGAGATTCTATAAAGTAGAGATAAAGAATTCACAACTAAAATAGAGGTCAATGAACCGCATAATTAATCCCTTCATAGTTTTTAGATGGTCTGTGGTTTCTATGAGTCATTGATTGATCTTGGCGTTATATAAATTGCTTTTTGTTAGGTGTCTTTTTATGTTAAAAATTTTGTTTAATATAACAATGACTCGAAATGGAAACACTTCTGAAAAGAAAAAGATTAGTAACAGAATGACAAAAACAGTGACAACAAAGCCAACCTCAAGACCAAGTTGAAGCTGGGTGATCACTTAGTAGACAAAAGGTATTTGAGTGCCTCGCAAGAAAGGATTGAACAAATAAGACTGTAGACAAATGCAATAGTGAGGACACGGATTAATGAAAATGTTCATTTTGATTGGGAATTAATTTTGCCGAAATAAAAATATTGTTTGTATAGATCAGCATTTCTCAACTGGGGTTCACTAGAACGCTAAGGTTCTGCAAAAAGTCCCCAAGGTTTCCACAAGAACAGGTGAGACAAGCTGATGCACTTTTGACTTTTTATTTAATTTCATATACGTAATATTACTAAACACACACAATATATTCTTGGTTATTGTAATACAGACATCATCTTATCTAACCTATTATGTTATTTAAAAAATATAACAATCATTGGGAATATATTTAGTGATGTCTGTATGGTGCCAGTGTGAAACCACCTTCACTAGTTAGGGCCCACTCAGTGAATGGGACCTGTACTTAAAGTTACTTATTTCTTTGTTTTTTCTTTATTTTTACACAAATACCCAATCAAAATATATATATAGTATATGATACTATACTATGATATTTACCATGTGAACTACGATGAAAATAAAATGAGAAAGATATGATATATAATTTTTTTTTTTTTTTTGCTGAGACCCAATTGTGCTTCTTTTGACACTGGTTTATCGTGCAACTATGTTTAGCTGACCTTAGTTTCAGTTAAGTATGTGTTCAACCAGGGGCACACATGGTTTTGAATACAGAGTTGTCTTCCTCCTATCCTGATAATGAATCAAAGCATGAGAGTCCTGCTTAATAACAGTTAATATAATTATTTCTTGTTATAAAAAAATTAACCTAAAGTAATTTAGAAAACAAGGGATTTAACTATTTATAGATTATTTTGGTAAATAAAATACATTTATTATTTTACTCACATTAGAGTTAACATTGCAAACCAGTTTGATTTCTCATCTTCAACACAACTTTTCATTGTTAAGCATGATCGTCTTCCCAGATCCATTTGTGTTTCTTTAACATCCACAGAGTCAACCTGTAGTTTATATTGAAGCAATTCTGAGCGGTCCTTAGTTATAGTGTCCCTCTAGGGAAATGTACAGTTTTAATTTCAGAGTTGTTCTTTTATACTGGTTTACGACCACTGCTAGATTATACAAGAACAAAAGTACGTTGGTTTGGAAATAGCAGTTAGTTTATAACACAAACACTAGAGACCGACATTTTTCACTGTCTGGGCAACGTATATATACGTCGGCAACAGGCAAAGTAAGTTTTGTAAAAGTATGACAGCAGTGGAAGTGTTAAGCATTAGATCCCATCTTCAATATGACCGAATAGCATCTGTGGTTATTTTTATGACACTGTTATGCACAGAGAGAGTTCAAAAGCTATCTAGAATGTAGACACAGTCTATTGAATTCAGCATCATCTCGTGTTGAAATTGTCAAGTTCAAGATAAGAGTTTTTCAACTGGTGAGCCCAGTCGCACTAACATGCCCTGAAAAGTAGCCAGTTAATGTGTGAATTATTTTTATATTTAGAAAAATCTTTATTTTTAAAAGCTTCACACAGCAAGCACATGCCTTTCATGTCTAAGTCAAGTCTTTGTCATTTGATATTTTTTTTCTTTTATCCCATGACCCGTAGGGGTGGGGACCATTTGTATTGCAGTACAAATACTGCTTCTTGGGCAAGGCAGCCTTACAGAGCCCAACCCTCTCCAGGCCAGTTATGAATTCATAGTTTTTCCTTCTAAACCGGCCGCCACCCAAGGTTATATAGAACCCAGTCTGTCCTATTTACCCATAGCTGGGGGGGGGAGAAGAAGAAGAGGATTCATATCTTTCCCAAGGGTATTAGCACGTAAGTGAATGTAATGGATTCGACAAGAATTCAAACTCGGCTCTCTGATTTCTCACTCCAAGCCGCTATACATTCAGTCACTTATGTGACATGTGTGATACATGCTTAGGTGATCATATCTTTTGAAACACAACTAACAAGGCAGATTTTTTTCCTGCAGTAGGTTGCCATTTCTTTCTGCAGTAGACCAGTTGCAATCCAAGGCTATAGAATCCAGTCTGTCCTGCTATTTACCCATAGCTGGGGGAGAAGAGGAGAATTCATACCTTTCCCAAGGTTATTAGCACATAAGTGAATGTAATGGATCTGAGTGAAATTCGAACCCGGCTCTCCGATTCCTCAATCTGAGCCATTATCCATTACTCCACCATGTCTGATATTTTATAATGGATGCTAAATTCCTTAATCTCTAAGGCGTGGATAATCCTTCCCTTTTGCCTTCCTCAAGAGATTTAAATCAGCCATTAATGGCCTCTCTAAAACAAAATAGTAAATTCTTCATAAATCCCTTTATATGAAAACTGTACCACTAATCCTCTTTGGGAATGCTAAACCAACCATTAATGGTAATTTTGTCCTTTGCCAAAGCACATCAAGCACAAGTTTCATACAAGCAGACTTAGATATACAATGTAATGTCTTAAAAATAAATGCGTATTTTAGGATACTTTTTTTTATTATTTACCTGTTTTCAAATTTCATGACTAAATTTTCCTTATTAAAATTTAAAGCCAGTCCCAGAGCTTTAGTTATTCTACAGGCTTAATATATAGTGTAAAGGCTTCCAAATAAATGTTTATTTCGGGAGACTTTTTTTTATTATTCACTTGTTTTCAAATTTCATGACTAATTTCCCCTTATTAAAATTTAAAGTGAGCCACGGAGTTTTAGTTATTCAATAAGTGCACTCTGAAGTGAAAACAAAAAGTTTAATAACCACTGTTCTCAATGAACAAATTGATTTGTGATGTGCCATTTAGGCTTATGGCCATATCTCATTAAAACACTAGTTCTCGTACAATCACTGAAGTTAAGCAACATTGAGCCTGGTCAGTACCTAGATGGATGACCGCTTGGGAATACCAGATGCTGTAAGTATAGATGTACGGCAGGTATGGTTTACAGCCATATCACATTGAAACACTAGTTCCCATATGATTACTAAAGTTAAGCAACATCAATCCTGGTCAGTACCTAGATGCCTGACTGCTTGGGAATACCAGGTGCTATAAGCTTGGATGTGCAGGAAGTATGGCTTATACCCACATCACATTGAAACTCTGATTCCCGTCAGTCACTGAAGTTAAGCAATGTCAAACTTGGTCAGTATCTAGAGGGGTAACTGCTGTAAACTTTGATGTGCAGGTGGTTTAATTTGATTATGGTCATATCATGCTGAAACAACAGTTCTCGTACAATCACTGGAGTTAAGCAACGTCAAGCCTGGTCAGTACCAAGATGGGTGACTGCTTGGAAATACCAGGTGCTGTAAGCTTGGATGTGTGACAGCTATGGCTTATACCCACATCACATTGAAACACCAGTTCATGTAGGATCACCAAAGTTAAGCAACATCAATCCTGGTCAGTACCTAAATGAGTGACCACTTGGGAATACCAAACACTGGAAGATTGGATGTGTGGGCGGCATAATGGATAATGGCTCTGAAGTAGAAATAGGAAAGCAGAGTTCCAATTCATATCCGGCTCGTTGTATTTAAATATGTGCAAATAGCCTTGGAAAAGATATGAATCCACGTCTTCTCCCTCTAGCTATGGGTTAATTCATAGCACTTGCATCAGTAAATCATAATTATATCAAAAAAAAAATTTTTACAATCTAGAAATATTTTCTCGCTTGAAATAACCTAAAAAGGGTTGATAGACTGTAAAAAAAAAAATCAATCAATCAGGTATGTGCCAGTTAGATGTAGCTTCCTTTTATTGAGACTGCATTAGCTCACTGTGCTGAGAATTGTTTGGAATTATTAAAAACTAGCTTAAAAGCTACCCTATCAGCTGGCATTTAAGCGAGCTCCAGCAAAGGGATCTTGATTGAGCATTCATCACATTAACTAGGGAGGAGCAGATGTCACAGGCAACTATAAACTATAGAAGAACTCAAAACTGATCAATCATTGCATTTAAGTATTGCATTAATATTTAAGCTTACCTTTTAAAAGTACAACGATAATTTTTCTGCTGTGACAATTTGATGTACATAGGTCCTTACTTTCCGTACAAACAATTATTATTATTTCATAGGTGGCTTTTGTTGGATTTTGCAATTAATTTTAATTATTCCCAAATTTATTTCCAAGTTATAAAAATTTTTAACGCACAAAAAAATTTGTCGCAAAAAATTACGTAAAAAAAAAAAAAAATTAAACCAAAAACAATCGTAGTAATGAAAACTTGGGAATCCAAAATTTCAGGATTGTGGGTCTAGATCCAGCCCAGAATGTTTTTAATTTGCTAATGGAATCGGCCTGATTCCAAAATGGTATGATTTGTTGGCTATGGCCTCTCGGAGTAAAGTTCAAAAAGAGTGACACATTGACATTTGCATTTGTTATATAGATTTTCAAATATTTTTCAGTATCCCTGGGAGCTAATTGATGCAGCTTGGGAATAAATGGATAAAACTGATTAGAACAGAGTCATTTAAATATACAGCATATAAAAGTCGGCAGGTAAGATTTAATGAATATGAAACGAGAGTTTAGTTAAATTTAGCCCACCACCAAACATACGTTCATTGAGAACAGTGGTTATTAAACTTTTTGTTTTCACTTCAGGGTTCAACAAAAATGACAGGTAGGCAGAAGGTATAAATGTTAGTGGCTTAGAATGAGGAATTGTCAAGCAGAGCTAGAATTCCAGTTGAATTTGTTTTATTCACTTTCACACAAATACTTCTGGGAAAGCTATGAATTCATCTCTTCTTCCTCCTAAATATGGGTTAAATAATACTGATGCAAAACTTGATCAGAAATATCAAAACTGTCACCTGTATACAACTACTTTCTGAAGTCAAAGCTTAAAAATGGCTTCTAGTGAATGAGACGTGTATCTTTTACCAAGAACCAGCCTTCTTTGAACCTTGAAGACTGGGGGTGACAGAATCACAAGGAACTGTATCAAATAACAGAAACCACATCTCTTGATGACTTTCAACAACTAAAATAAATATCACATGTAAATCTAAGAGAAAATAATGACATAATCAAGATGCTGATATTCCACACTACTTCAAACAAAAGGTTAGGAAGGAAACCTCTTTCAGTACAGGAAAGATTAACTGGTCTTAAGAAACCTATTTTCCTAAACAATTATTTTAATAGGAAAATTTTATAAATTTCAACCAAATGTAGCACTGGCTGCTCAGCCATTGAATGCCGAATGTTTCATTATAAGGAAACGGCTAATATTACCATTAGAGATGAGGAGAACAGATACTACACTTTGATTCCATCCCGATGGCCAGGGGAGTGAAGAAAAGCGTAATGAGTAGCACTGGCTGCTTTCGGTCAATGAATGCTGAATGTTTCATTATAAGGAAACGGCCTAATATTACCATTAGAGATGAGGAGAACAGATACTACACTTTGATCCCATCCCGATGGCCAGGGAGTGAAGAAAAGCGTAACTAGTAGCACTGGCTGCCCTCGGTCAATGAATGCCGAATGTTTTATTATAAGGAAACATCTAATATTACCATTATCATTAGAGATGAGGAGAACAGATACTACACTTTGGTCCCAGCCCGATGGCCAGGGGAGAAGAAAAGCGAACGGTAGCACTGGCTGCTCGGTCAATGAATGCCGAATGTTTTATTATAAGGAAACATCTAACAATACCATTATCATTAGAGATGAGGAGAACAGATACAACACTTTGGTCCCAGCCCGATGGCCAGGGGTCGTGAAGAAAATGCGTAACCTGAGTAGCACTGGCTGCTCGGTCAATGAATGCCGAATGTTTTATTATAAGGAAATGGCTAATACCATTATCATTAGAGATGAGGAGAACAGATACAACACTTTGGTCCCTGATGGCCAAGGAGTGAAGAAAAGCGTAATCGTAATGGCTGCTCTCGGTCAATGAATGCCAATGTTTTATTATAAGGAAATGGCTAATATTACCATTATCATTAGAGATGAGGAGAACAGATACAACACTTTGGTCCCAGCCCGACCACAGGGAGTGAAGAAAAGCGTTTAAATCTGGCTGCTCGGTCAATGAATGCCGAATGTTTTATTATAAGGAAATGGCTAATATTACCATTATCATTAGAGATGAGGAGAACAGATACAACACTTTGGTCCCAGCCCGATGGCCAGGGAGTGAAGAAAAAACCTCTAGCACTGGCTGCTCGGGCTTAATGAATGCCGAATGTTTTATTATAAGGAAATGGCTAATATTACCATTATCATTAGAGATGAGGAGATACAGACTAAAATATTTTGGGTCCCAGCCCCGATGGCCATGGAGGAAGAAAAGCGTTTGTCCGAGTAAGGCAAGATGGCTGCTCGGTCAATGAATGCCAATGTTTTATTATAAAGGAAATGGCAATATTACCATTATCATTAGAGATGAGGAGAACAGATAAACACTTTGGTCCCAGCCCGATGGCCAGGGAGTGAAGAAAAGCGTAAATTGTAGCACTGGCTGCTCGGTCAATGAATACCGAATGTTTTATTATAAGGAAATGGCTAATATTACCATTATCATTAGAGATGAGGAGAACAGATACAACACTTTGGTCCCAGCCCGATGGCCAGGGAGTGAAGAAAAGCGAACGAAATCCGAAGCACTGGCTGCTGGTCAATGAATGTTGAATGTTTTATTATAAGGAAATGGCTAATATTACCATTATCATTAGAGATGAGGAGAACAGATACAACACTTTGGTCCCAGCCCCGATGGCCAAAAGAATGAAGAAAAATCGTAACGCAAGCACTGGCTGCTCGGTCAATGAATGCCGAATGTTTTATTATAAGGAAATGGCTAATATTACCATTATCATTAGAGATGAGGAGAACAGATACAACACTTTGATCCCAGCCCGATGGCCAGGGAATGAAGAAAAGCGTAACTCGTAGCACTGGCTGCTCGGTCAATGAATGTTGTCGTTTTATTATAAGGAAATGGCTAATATTACATTATCATTAGAGATGAGGAGAACAGATACAACACTTTGGTCCCAGCCCGATGGCCAGGGAGTGAAGAAAAGCGTAACGAAGCACTGGCTGCTCGGTCAATGAATGCCAATGTTTCATTATAAGAAACGGCTAATATTACCATTAGAGATGAGGAGAACAGATACTACACTTTGGTCCCATCCCGATGGCCAGGGAGTGAAGAAAAGCAACAGTAGCACTGGCTGCTCGGTCAATGAATGCCGAATGTTTTATTATAAGGAAATGGCTAATATTACCATTATCATTAGAGATGAGGAGAACAGATACAACACTTTGGTCCCAGCCCGATGGCCAGGGAGTGAAGAAAAGCCGTTCAGTAGCACTGGCTGCTCGGTCAATGAATGCCGAATGTTTTATTATAAGGAAATGGCTAATATTACCATTATCATTAGAGATGAGGAGAACAGATACAACACTTTTGGTCCCAGCCCGATGGCCTTGAGAAGAAAAGCGTAACAGTAGCACTGGCTGCTCGGTCAATGAATGCCGAATGTTTTATTATAAGGAAATGGCTAATATTACCATTATCATTAGAGATGAGGAGAACAGATACAACACTTTGGTCCCAGCCCGATGGCCAGGGAGTGAAGAAAAGCGTAACGAGTAGCACTGGCTGCTCGGTCAATGAATGCCGAATGTTTTATTATAAGGAAATGGCTAATATTACCATTATCATTAGAGATGAGGAGAACAGATAAACACTTTGGTCCCAGCCCGGTAAAGAAAAGCGAATTTGTAGCACTGGCCTGCTCGGTCAATGAATGCCGTAATGTTTTATTATAAGGAAATGGCTATTATTACCATTATCATTAGAGATGAGGAGAACAGATACAACACTTTGGTCCCAGCCCGATGGCCAGGGAGTGAAGAAAAAATAACAGTAGCACTGGCTGCTCGGTCAATGAATGCCTAATGTTTTATTATAAGGAAAATGGCTAATATTACCATTATCATTAGAGATGAGGAGAACAGATACAACACTTTGGTCCCAGCCCGATGGCCAGGGAGTGAAGAAAAATAAACAGTAGCACTGGCTGCTCGGGTCAATGAATGCCGAATGTTTTATTATAAGGAAATGGCTAATATTACCATTATCATTAGAGATGAGGAGAACAGATAAAACTTTGGTCCCAGCCCGAATGCCAGGGAGTGAAGAAAAGCGTAACGATTAGCACTGGCTGCTCGGTCAATGAATGCCAATGTTTTATTATAAGGAAATGGCTATTACCATTATCATTAGAGAGATGAGGAGAACAGATTTTGGTCCCAGCCCGATGGCCAGGGAGTGAA